GGGGGGGAAAGACAGAGGGGAAAGAGAGGAAGGAGGAGGAGGAGAAGAGAAAGGGAGAGTGAAAGACAGGAGGGGGAGGAGAGCTGGGGGGGCACTAGGAGAGAGAGCGAGAGACGGAGCGAGAGCGCTCAGGAGAGAAGACCTGAAAATCCAGTCTTATGACGGGCTAATTGGCTAGTTTTCAAATAATGTGGCAATGCAGACGTCCCCTCTAGGAGCCCAGCCCAGGGACATATGCGCACAGCACAGCTCATGCCCTCCAGCAAGGGGCACCAGGAGGGGCTGCATGCACACACACACGCACGCACGCATGCACACACACACACAGAGCAGGGTTTGCCCGACCAGAGGAGTGCAATGGGGAACAATGCGCGCGCGCACACACACATGCACACACACACGCACGCACGCACACAGAGCAGGGTTTGCCCGACCAGAGGAGTGCAACAGGGAACAATGCGCGCACACGCACACACGCACACACACACACACACACACACAGGCACGCACACACACAGAGCAGGGTTTGCCCGACCAGAGGAGTGCAACAGGAAACAATGCGCGCGCGCACACACACGCACATGCACACGAACACACACGCACACAGAGCAGGGTTTGCCGGACTAGAGGAGTGCAACAGGGAACAATGCGCGCGCGCACGCACACACGCACACGCACACACACGCACACAGAGCAGGGTTTGCCGGACTAGAGGAGTGCAACAGGGAACAATGCGCGCGCGCACGCACACACGCACACGCACACACACGCACACAGAGCAGGGTTTGCCGGACTAGAGGAGTGCAACAGGGAACAATGCGCGCGCGCACGCACACACGCACACGCACACACACGCACACAGAGCAGGGTTTGCCGGACTAGAGGAGTGCAACAGGGAACAATGCGCGCGCGCACGCACACACGCACACGCACACACACGCACACAGAGCAGGGTTTGCCGGACTAGAGGAGTGCAACAGGGAACAATGCGCGCGCGCACGCACACACGCACACGCACACACACGCACACAGAGCAGGGTTTGCCGGACTAGAGGAGTGCAACAGGGAACAATGCGCGCGCGCGCACACACACACACACACACAGCTTGGGGCTGGGGGTGGTGCCCATGGCACTGCTGATTCCAGCCAGCCCTTCGTGGGAGGCCTCACAACTGGCTATAAGAGGATCTCCGGCTCAGCATGGTCACCGCACCTGGGGGCAGAGGAGAGACATGAGCATCAGCCCTTGGGCCCCAGCTGCCAAGCCCCAGAGGTGGCTGCATCTCACTGTTGGGCAAGTCCATCGGCCCTGATTTTCTATTGTGTGGGGGGGGGGGGCTTGTCCCCCGATCTGCTCCAGGCCCAGCCCCCACTCCACCTCTTGCCTCAAGGCCATGCCCCCATCCCTCTGCCCTGCCTCTTCCCAACCAGTTCCACCCCTCCGCTGAGCGCACCTGCATCCTCCTTGTCCCTCCAGACTACTGCACCCTGGGAGCAGCTCATTGTGGCAGGCGGGAGGTATGGAGGGGGAGGTGGTGGTAAGGGGTCTGCCCATTTTTCCCCAGGTTGCTCCAGCCCCACAGCACCCTCAGAGTTTCCACTTAGCCATGTGGTTACATGTGGCTGTTCCCCAGCTGCCCCACCCCAGAGGTGGCTGCATCTCCACCCACAGAGCCCTAGTGTGCTCACCCGTTCCAAGGTACAGGAAGAAGGACAGCCAGCCCAGGCTGTAGGACCAGCTGTAGGCGAAAATTTCTGGCAGGACTTTCTGGGACTCACCACTGGTGAACACGGCCATGGCGATCATGACACACAGACCTAGGGCCAGAGGGACCAGGGAGGACACCCCTTAGTGCGGCCCAGGGCCTCTGTCCTGCCTCACCACCAGGGGAGCTGCCAGGCCCAGGCAGGGTCCCTGAATGGGGTGCTCCCTAGGGCTGGCTGAGGGAGGTACTCAGGAGCCATGGACCTGGGCAAGGAGTGGCCAGGGGGGTACCTGCACCGAAGCTGCTCATGGTGGAGACCGTGGTGAGGGAGGCGGAGCAAAGGTGGGAGCAGAAGAAGGATGCGCCGAGAGCGAGGGAGGCGAGACAGCCAGCCAGCATGGCCAGGACCAGGAAAAACCTGGTGGTGTGGAAGAAACCTGAGGGGCAGGGACGGGGTTAAATCAGGAACTGCCCAGATCCCAGAAGTCCTGACTCCCAGCCCCCTCATCCACTAGACCCCACTTCTCACTTCCCCCCTCCCACCCGCACCCCCGAGCTGGAAAAACCAGGAGTCCCAGCTGCCCGCCCACGTGGCTGTAACCACTACGCCCCACTGCCCTCCTGGAGAAAGGGGCCGGACCCACATCTCCCTTACCTGGCACGTTGTCTGGATACAAAGTGCAGATCTTGGACACACAGATCTTCCACAGCCCACCGTGGCTCCCCGGCATGTCACTGCTCCTCAGCCAGGAGTCTGAGACCAGAGCCAGCCCCAGCAGCCCCAGGCTGAGCAGGGACAGGAGGATGCCTGCCAGCCGGAAAACCTCCATCGCCGGGGTCCCTGGGGCCCGATCCTCGGGGCGTAGCTGCTGGGAAGCCAGAAGGGAAAGGGGAGGGTCACAGCCCAGCCCCCCAGCCCAGAGAGGGGAGCGCACAAGGGAACCCGAGGGGAGGAAGTGAAGGCCGGGGTGGGCCGGGGAGGGGGCCGGGGCGTCCGGCTAAGGGGCTGCCGCAAAGGGAAAGTTGGGCTGCAAAGAGAATGAGATCTGGGCTGGCCAGTTTGGGGGAGGGGGAGCGTATTCCTGGAGGTGTCGTCACATGACCGAATGTTAATTAAAGGTTAATTATTCCTGCCAGAGCTGTCCTGGGCGGGGGAGGGGCGACCCCAGCGAGATCCCAGGAACAGAGAAGACCTGAAATTAGCCCCATTCACCAAGGGAAAGTTGGGCTGCAAAGAGAATGAGATCTGGGCTGGCCAGTTTGGGGGAGGGGGAGCGTATTCCTGGAGGTGTCGTCACATGACCGAATGTTAATTAAAGGTTAATTATTCCTGCCAGAGCTGTCCTGGGCGGGGGAGGGGCGACCCCAGCGAGATCCCAGGAACAGAGAAGACCTGAAATTAGCCCCATTCACCCTCCCAAGAGCCCCGGCGTTGATGGCCAGGAGCAGCCGACCTCTCGCCCCAGGGATCACGGCGCTCGGTTCCGCGCCTCCTGCCCTCGGCCCGCTCCAGACAGACTCCTTCCCCGTAATGCCCCCATAATCCCCCGGGCCTCCAGCCTGAACCGAATGGGAGCCGCCTGCCCCCCTCCTGCAATCAGGTTGCCCGGTGGCACTGAGCGACCAGCCCATGGCCCGGCCCCAGCCCGGTGCCCCCTCGCTCCCAGTAGCACCCAGGAACCCCCCTTCTTGGCACAGGGATCCGGCCGTGGGGGTTTGCTAGGATGCTTGCAGGGGCGGGGGTGATTAAAAAGCCTTGCTCTGTTCAAGGCTTGTGCCCCACTGAGTGGTGTGTGCCCTGTTGCCTGGGGAGCTCTGAAGGGTGCTGGCTGTTCCTGAAATACGTGGGTGGCTGTGACAGGTTGGATCACGGGGGTCCCCGGAGGGCTGTCACCCCGTGTGCTGGTCATGCCACTGAGCCTGAGAGAGATGCACAGCTGTGCCCGCCAAGTCACAATGGGGTTTAATAATAAACAAAAGGGGTTTCATCAAGTGTAAAAGGTGGGACGTCAGCAATTGCCAGTGAACACAGACAGATCAAAGCAAGTTCCTAAACCAAAACAAACCAAACCCGCCAGCTGAGCCTAATGCGCGGGGACAGATCCTTACAGATCAGAATTCTTGTCCTCGTTCCCACGCCAGGTAAAATCCGCCACGGCACAAATGATCTTTTTCACAGGCCGGGAGCTACAGCTTCCTGCGGTTCTTTAGAGGTCTTTGTGTTCAGGTTTCTTCGTGTCTCGGAAGGGCAGCCGGGTTCGTCTGTAATGTTGAAAACAACTAAGTAATCCTGTGGCACCTCAAGCGATCTCTACACTACCTGGTTATTTCGAAAGAAGTGATTTCAAAAGAATAACTCCTAATAAGAACTATTTCAAAATAAGCTTATTCCTCGTCACACGCAGGAGTTATTGTTTCGAAACAACAAGCCCCTTATTCCAAAAATAAGGGGGAGGGACAGCTTTGTGGTTTGAGCATTGGCTTGCTAAACCCTGGGTTGTGAGTTCAATCCTTGGAGAAGACATTCAGGAATCTTGCATGATCTCAAAATAAAAAAGGAGTCATATAAAAAATGGAAACTAGGACAACTAACAAAGGAGGAATATAGGCAAGCAACACGGGAATGCAGGGGCAAGATTAGAAAGGCAAAGGCACAAAATGAGATCAAACTAGCTACAGGCATAAAGGGAAACAAGAAGACCTTTTATAAATACATTAAAAGCAAGAGGAAGACCAAGGACAGGGTAGGCCCACTGCTTAGCGAGGAGGGAGAAGCAGTAACAGGGAACTTGGAAATGGCGGAGATGCTCAATGACTTCTTTGTTTCGGTCTTCACCGAGAAGTCTGGAGGTGTGCCTAACGTAGTGAATACAAGCAGAGAGAGGGTAAGTTTAGAAGATAGGATACACAAAGAACAAGTTAAAAATCACTTAGGAAAGTTAGATGTCAGCAAGTCACCAGGTCCTGATGAAATGCATCCCAGGATACTCAAGGAGCTGATAGAGGAGGTATCTGAGCCTTTAGCTATGATCTTTGAAAAATCATGGCAGACAGGGGAGATTCCAGAAGACTGGAAAAGGGCAAATATTGTGCCCATCTATAAAAAGGGGAATAAGAACAACCCAGGAAATTATAGACCGGTCAGTTTAACGTCTGTCCCAGGGAAGATAATGGAGCAGGTAATTAAGGAAATCGTATGCAAACACTTGGAAAGTAATAAAGTGATAGGGAATAGCCAGCATGGGTTTGTGAAGAACAAGTCATGCCAAACTAATCTGATAGCTTTCTTTGAAAAGATAACGAGCCTTGTGGATAAGGGAGAAGCGGTGGATGTCATATACCTAGACTTTAGTAAGGCATTTGATACGGTCTCGCATGATATTCTTATTGATAAACTAGGCAAATATAACTTAGATAGGGCCACGATAAGGTGGGTGCATAATTGGCTGGATAACCGTAGTCAGAGAGTTGTTGTTAACGGTTCTAAATCCTGCTGGAAAGGGATAACAAGTGGAGTTCCTCAAGGGTCTGTTTTGGGACCCGTACTATTCAATATCTTCATCAATGATGTAGATATTGGGATAGAGAGTACTCTTATTAAGTTTGCAGATGATACCAAACTGGGTGGGGTTGCAACTTCTTTGGAGGATAGGGACATAATTCAAAATGACCTTAGCAAGTTAGAGAAATGGTCAGAGGTAAACAGGATGAGGTTTAATAAGGAGAAATGCAGAGTGCTCCACTTAGGAAGGAACAATCAGTTCCATACATACAAGATGGGAAGCGACTGTCTAGGAAGGAGCATGGCGGAAAGGGATCTAGGGGTCATAGTGGACCACAAGTTGAATATGAGTCAACAGTGTGATGCTGTTGCAAAAAAAGCAAATATGATTCTAGGTTGTATCAACAGGTGTGTTGTAAGCAAAACTCGTGAAGTCATTCTGCCGCTCTATTCTGCACTAGTTAGGCCTCAGCTGGAGTACTGTGTCCAGTTCTGGGCGCCACATTTCCAGAAAGATGTGGAGAAATTGGAAAGGGTACAGAGAAGAGCGACAAGAATGATTAAAGGTTTAGAGAACATGACCTATGAAGCCAGGCTTCATGAACTGGGCTTGTTTAGTTTGGAAAAAAGAAGATTAAGGGGGGACATGATAGCGGTTTTCAAATATCTAAAAGGGTGTCACAAGGAGGAAGGCGAAAATTTGTTCCTCTTGGTTTCTGAGGACAGGACAAGGAGTAATGGGCTTAAAGTGCAGCAGGGGAGGTTTAGATTGGACATTAGGAAACAATTCCTAACTGTCAGGGTGGTCAAATATTGGAATAAATTGCCAAGGGAGGTGGTGGAATCTCCCTCTCTGGAGATATTTAAGAACAGGTTAGATAGACATCTGTCAGGGATGGTGTAGACGGAGCTTGGTCCTGCCTTGAGGGCGGGGGGCTGGACTCGATGACCTCTCGAGGTCCCTTCCAGTCCTATTATTCTATGATTCTATGATTCTATAATCTGGGACAAAATCTGTCAGGGATGGTACTTGGTCCTGTTGTGAGGGCAGGCGACTGGACTCAAAGACCTTCCAAGATCCCTTCCAGCTCTAGTAGATAGGCATCTCCATTCATCTTAAAAGAACAGGCTTGGTAGTGTGGATGCTCAGCTTGTTATTTCAAAATAACAGGGATTATTTCAAAATCACTCCCCAGCATAGAGGCCCTTTGGCTATGTCTACACAGCAGTGCTGTCAGAATAACTGATGTTACTCCATGGCTACATCTACACTGGCACCCTTTTCCGGAAATGCTTAAAACAGAACAGTTTTCCATTATAAGTATTTCCAGAAAAAGCACGTCTACATTGGCAGGATGGTTTTCCAGAAAAGCACTTTTTCCGGAAAAGCATCCGTGGCCAATATAGACGCGCTTTTCCGCAAAAAAGCCCCGATCGTCATTTTCACGATTGGGGCTTTTTTGCGGAAAAGACTACTGTGCTGTCTACACTGGCCCTTTTCCGGAACAGTTTTTCCGGAAAAGGACTTTTGCCTGAACGGGAGCAGCATAGTTTTTCCAGAAAAACACTGATGATTTTACATTAGATTGTCGTTGCTTTTCCGGAAAAGCAAGCGGCCAGTGTAGACAGCTGGCAAGTTATTCCGGAAAAGCGGCTGCTTTTCCAGAATAAGTGGCCAGTGTAGACACAGCCCACGTCTACTCATCAAGCAGTTATTCTGACATATTGTTGAAATAATGGTGAGCTGGAGGACTGCTTACTCTAACTGCTGCAACGCTCACTGTACGAGGAGAAAGGGAAGCGGGAGGAAGAGAGCTCTTTCTTCGACTTCCTGCTGCGGAGACAGCGCCAAAGCCAAGTTAAGCGATTTCGACTTCAGCTATGCATTGACATAGTTCAAGTTGCGTCACTTATTTCGGCTTTAGCCCTGCTGTATAGACACGCCCTTAGAGACTCTGAGTGCATCTAGACACCTTTCTTTCGAAATAAGCTATGCAATCTGCGTTAAGCAAATTGTGTAGCTTATTCCAAGTCTAAGCTGAAAGAGCTTATTTTGAAATTTGGTACTGCACCAAATTTCAAAATACGGCACTATTCCGACAAATCCCTTAGCCCTCGTGGAATGAGGGACACCGGACTAGCACGTCCCTATTTCGGGAACTAGCAGGCGCTTATAAAGATACGGAGTTGCTCCTTCGGGATACTTCCGGCATGCTGAAATAGCAATGCAGTCTAGACGTACCCCTAACACAAATAGATGTATAGTGTTGTGAGCTTTTGTGGGCAAAGCCCACTTCATCAGATGAGCCGGAGTGGAGAAAAAAGGGGGACTCGCAGAATGTATAACCGCAGGATCCACGG